AAAATAAAAAAGAAGAAGACGAACTAAACCGAACGGACCACTCCTAACGAAACTAAGTGACTAAGAAAAGGAACGAAACCAAAAACCCAAACTACATCTTACTTCTCTATCTCCTTACTGTTATCATCTAGAGAGAGAGAGAGAGAGCACCCAACTAACCAATACGTCATTCATTCTTGGCAGCTCTATCTTTAAAGTTACTCTTCTTTTTTTTTTTCTTTTTTTTTTTGGTGGGGAGGTGGAGCCATGTGTAATGAATAATTAGTTTCATTGAAAGTTGTTTTAATCAGTCAAAAGAATCACCACTAATTGTGAATGAAAGCTTGCCAAACCTATATAAATTCATCATCTTGCCTCATAAGGCCCACTACTAAAAAAGATAAAACATGACATTTATACAAGGGGACTTGTTTGACCACCATCCTTTAAAGAAACCTGTCTGATGTTTTAGATTCTGCAACCCCAATTATGTGCAGCAATGCCACCTAATGTTTTGGATGGATATAGATGTAAATAGGTCCAAGTTCGACCCGGACCCAACATAGACCCTATTTGGGTCCAGGTCAATTGGACCTAGACCCAACTCATTAGGGTGGTTCAGGTTCAAGGTCGACCCCGACATAACCAATATGGTCCAAGAGGGACTTGGATAAGGACCTGACCCACTATGTGTACTGATCTGGTCCTGAGGAGACCCAGGCGGGCTCGTTCAATGGTGGACTTAACCTGATTGCCACCCTTGAGGATGGATTGATGGATCACTAAAAAATGGGTGGTCCAAGTTCAACTAGGCCCCTTAAATTTTTCTTTTTTTGTTTTTTTTGTTTTTAAGCAGTGATTACAAAGTTGGAATTTACATACTCGCTAGAGTCCCAATCCCGAGTCACCCGGTCTGAATCCAGTAAGACCGAGGAGAACAAAGGGAGCCAGTGAAAATTTTGAAATATTATCATAAAATTGGAGACTCGCATTTCCATGCTTTTCGGCCCGGAATCGTTGGCTCCGACTTGGGCGAGTCCCCAGTTGGAGAGTGACTTTTTGTTCACCAGTGTAAACTAATCAGAGATTAAACATTTCCTTATCTCTCCCTTTTGCAAATTTATCAGATGATAATATTACTATTTTGTGTTATTTTTTTCTCACAGGCCAAGAAAACCAGTCCAAATAGGACAGGTCCCAGATGAGTCATCTCCAATAAAATTTAATACAATGGAAGTTACAAGGAGCAAAACTCATCATCTTCTTCACTTTCCATTAACCACAATCTTCTCTCTATTATTAATCCTACTTCCATGGATATCAAATCAGACAGAAGCAGCCTTAAGCTCAGACATCCAAGCTCTGTTAAGCTTCAAGTCCCAACTAAAGGACCCCACCAATTCCATGAACAATTGGGATCCATCCATTCAAGGGGCCCCATGTTCATGGGCCGGAATTTACTGTGATTCTGGCCAGGTCTCCGGAATTTTGCTCGGAAGCCGATCACTTTCTGGTACCCTCTCTCCTTCAATTTCAGCCCTCCACTCCCTCACCACCCTCAACATCTCGGACAACTCCATTTCAGGACACCTCCCTGTATTGGACCTCCCTCTCCTGAAAATCCTGGACTTATCTGGAAACCAGTTTTCAGGTGAATTTCCGGGATGGGTTGGTAAATTGACAAGCCTCATTTCACTCAATTTCGCTGGAAATGGCTTTTCTCCAGGGAGGATTCCAGCGAGTTTGGGTAATCTCAAGAACCTCACTGAGCTCTGCATGTCTTACTGTAGTTTGAATTTTGACATACCTGAGTTTATATTTGAGCTTCGAAAGCTTGAGAGTCTCGACCTTTCAATAAATAATCTCACTGGAAAAATCCCAAAAACAATATCAAATCTGCAGAGCTTGTATAAGATTGAGCTCTACGATAACATGCTTACTGGAGAGCTACCACAAGAGATTGGGAACCTCAGTTTGTTAAGAGAATTTGATATTTCCCACAATTTGATGACAGGAAAGCTACCAGAAAGCTTGGGTGGCCTCAAACGTTTGACTGTGTTTCAGTTGTATGAGAATGAGTTTTATGGGGACTTGCCGAAAGGATTTGGAGATATGAGGAATTTGGTGGGGTTTTCGATTTATCGGAACCAATTTTCGGGAGAGTTTCCTCCAGAATTTGGAAAATATTCCCCACTAGAAAGCATTGACATATCAGAAAATGGATTTTCTGGGGAGTTTCCAGCCAATCTTTGCTGGAAAAACCAGCTTTGGTTCTTGCTTTCTTTGGAGAATAGATTTTCAGGGAGGTTTCCTGAAAGCTATGCAGAGTGTAAGTCTCTGATAAGGCTTAGAATCAGTAACAATTACTTTGTTGGGGAAATACCAGAAGGATTATGGGGATTGCCTAATGCAAGTATCATTGATTTTGCTGATAATGGTTTCAATGGGAGCATTGCTTCTATGATCAAGCAATCAGTTAATTTGAACCAGTTGTTTATACAAAACAATGGTTTCACTGGTGAAATACCATCAGAAACAGGATTTCTAAAACAATTGCAAAAGTTTCATGGATATAATAATAACTTTCATGGAAGAATCCCTGAAGAAATCGGGAATTTGAACCAGTTGTCGAGCTTATATCTTTTTAAAAATAACTTCTCAGGATCGATTCCTTCGAGCATTGGTGCATGCAGTAAATTAACAGATGTACAATTGGCCGAGAACTCACTGACAGGGGATATACCTTCGGGTTTAGCCAATCTTCTCTCTCTGAACTCTATGAATCTGTCCTGGAATTTGCTAACTGGGTCAATCCCAAGAAATTTTCAGCTTCTAAAACTAAGCTTAATAGATTTCTCGCACAACAAGTTATCAGGGCCCGTCCCTTCCGGGCTTCTATCAATGGCTTCGCTAAATGCCTTTGCAGATAACTCAGGCCTCTGCATCAACCAAAGGATTCCATTAGAGAGAGAAACCCATATCCCCACCTGTAAATCAAGCCCAATGCATGGCAGAATCTCAGGAACAACAGTGGTTTTCCTCTCCATATCAGCAGTTGCAGTAGCAATAACCTTAACAACCACGATCATGCTTGGTTACAAAAGAATCAAAGCCGAACCCATTAACGATTATAGTGAAAGAGAAGACCCAAAACAAAGAGACGAAGACCCAAATTGGAAATTCAAGATGTTTCACCAAACAGGTTTCGAGGCCGATGAAATATGTTATCTTAAAGAAGAGAATTTGATTGGCACAGGAGGCAATGGCAGAGTATACAGAGTGGAGCTGAAAAATGGAGAAAAAGTAGCAGTGAAAGAGCTCTGGAAAGGGTCTGACCTCAAGTTTATGAGATCAGAGATTGAGATTTTGGGAAAAGTGAGGCACCGAAATATAGTGAGGCTTTATGCTTGTCTTTCAAGAGGGGTCTCAGGAATTTTGGTATATGAATTCATGGAGAATGGCAACTTGTTTGAAGCATTGAGGAAGAGGAGAGAGGAGGATGAGAAAAGAGAATTGGGAAAGATTGAAAAAGAGAAGAGGAAGAGAGAGAAAGAGTTGGATTGGGTTCAAAGACATGGGATTGGAGTTGGGGTGGCAAAGGGGCTGGCTTATTTGCACCATGACTGCTCGCCTGCGATAATCCATAGAGATATAAAATCAAGCAATGTGTTATTGGATGAAGCCTTGGAGGCTAAGATCGGGGACTTCGGAATTGCAAGGGTGGTTAGCGAAGGGGGCGAGGCAAGCTCAGGGTTTGTGGGAACTCATGGATACATCGCTCCTGGTTAGTTTTTCCTGCACTTTTTCTCTGTTTTCTATTTTCTTAAAACATGCAAATGTGCACACACAAACACTCATACCCACATGCATTTTCCAACTTTGCAGTTGATCAGATTACAGGTCTCTCTCTCTCTC